AACTTCCGCCGGCGATTGCGGCTGATTCCGGCGGGGTTGGAGGTCGTGCCGCATGTCGTTGAACTCAGCTCGTCGAGATCTTTCTATTGACACCGTCGGTGTCAAAAACAGAGGTTGGAATCTGAACTTGGGTATTTGGCCATTGATGGTTTGTGTGAGAGAGAACGTGAGAGGAGAGAGAGAATGAGCGAGAATAAGAGAAAGAAAGTGCAAGAACCCTAAAAATTTCACTATATAAAGTATCTGATTAAGGCAAGATTACGTGCCTGACCTTATCCTCAATTATTTCCTCTAAACAGATTAAATTTATACTGATTAGAGGTAATTAGTTTAGCTCACGTAAGTTAATCTACTACTTACAGTCCAATATCAATTTCTGAATAATTCAATATTGTTTTATATTCTTACTCGCGTAATATTTCAAACTGTTTCAAGTCTTAAAATTAATTTTAGACTGAACAAATTCTAAATTTTAATTTTCTGTATTCTATCCCGAGAATGACGTTTCTGACAGTGTCAACTCCCGAGCTCATATTGTATCCATCTACTATAGGTATTTATCTTGTGACTTTAACCTAACTGTTTGGCAATTAAGGATTTTTTTTCTTCTTTTAAAATGTCAGTGCGTTTTTTTTTTATATGCCGCTAACATCGTGCTGTGCTTAGAGATTCTTGAAATTAAGATTCTCAAACTATACTTGTACTGAAAATTATTCTGCCTTAAAATACGGCGAGAATTTATCGATCGAATTTACTTGATCGAAACATGAACTTAACATGAAATTTGCTATAGAATTTAGGAATACATATATTAATTCCATAAATCCTCCATTCACAATATAACATAATATTTTCTAAGAAAATCCTTGGCTTAAAAATACATGAATTGTATTACTTAAGGTCTGAAATTTTCGCAGTCATTACATATGATGCAGAAGCACCAAATACTCCTGCTGCCTAGTCGTTTTACTTCTCCAGACTTTGCTATTTTAGTTCTTTTAGGGCCAGTTTGGTACACAGGATTAAAGAGGATTATATAAGATTAACTATTAATATTGTGTTTGGTGCATATTTATAAAGTATTTGATTGCATAAATTTTTATCCAGTCCATTATCAAACCCCCTTACAAAGGAATGTTGTTATCCGTTATGGAAGCATGAGATAATTTTTTACTAAAGCACATTGTGAAAACAATTAGGGACCTATTATAAATTTTTATAAACTTTGGGGTCTAATTCTAATTGTTTAAAAGTTAAGGGGTCAAATGATAACTTTTATATGAGTAAAATGTTTTTAAAATATTATATTTTGCCCCTTAAATTTTAAAAAAGTACTTTTAACCTTAAATTTTAAAATTTTATAAAAATGCCCTCATCCTAATGACACAACCCCACACATGGGATTGGATTAAACTAAAATCTAACCAAACGGGACCTTACTTTATGTGGTTTGTTAAATAGCTGTCTTTAGCCTCTTTATTTACAAACTATTGTTTTGCCTTGTGTAAGGGTTACTATATTGTAAACAAAAATTGTAGTACATAGTAGATTTATAAAACTAAATTAAATAAACAGCAAATTCTGAAATATTTAAAATAAATAGCAGTAAAAACATTTTTGACCACGTAAATTTTTTATTTACTGCTATTTAATGTGTAAATCTTCTATTCGAGCTACTGGTTCACCGAATGTCAAGTAACATACTGCATATGATTTGAGTCCATCAACCACTCAAGACACTCAACATTAAAGTCTTATTCTTAGTTATTGGTCCACCGAACGCAAGTAACATATATGATGTGAGGCCGTCAACTACCACTCAAGATTAAAGTCAACATTTTTTTCCCTTTAAAACCAATATGATCGACAAACTAGAGTTATGTGAACAAACGTTTAAAATTTATGAAAATAAATTTGTTAAGTGTTCCAGCTTTACTCACGGGTTGATGAACAACTAAATTTGTGCTTTTGTCCAACAAGAACGGTTTGTTAACTGACCGGCATGGTCGGCGACCGATTTTATCGATTTTTTGCATGTTGTTTTTCAATTGGAGTAGATTTTTTTTTATTTTTTGAACAGACCTAAGCTTACCTATGAGCAAATTAATAAGTAACCAGATATAAACAACAAGGGTCTTTGCTCTTTTTAACGTGGGACAAGCATTTCCCTTTTATTTTTATTTTTTTCAACTCCTTGAGTGTATTTTGCGTATCAATTTCTTATTCATTGATAAATCATTTAAAGCATATCAATATCTAGTTTTGATCTCCTCATAGAAAAAAGAAAATGAAACGATTTGAACCTTCACTAACACGAAAGGATCCCAGTAAAAATCAAATCTCAAAATAGGTAACCAAGGCATAATTCCAACAGACAAAACCCATTATCCATAATTATATATTCCCCTTTGCCTTTGGATGTTCTGGAAAGAAAAAGTGGGCTCTGAAATCCCTTTTCCTCAGCAAAATTAAACTGCTACATTTTCAATAAACGTCGTGAAAATCATGCAGAAAACTTCATATGCTTTTAGAGCTTTATTTCGATCAACAGAACATGTACTTATTCATATGCTTTTTAGAGCTTTATTAGGCTGAAAAGAAAACAAAACACACTATAGATACCCCTTTTCTTTAGAGGATTTGACTGCATCATCAAACATTTCTTCAACTCCATACTTGTATTGGAAACCTGACTCTATTAGCTTCTTTGACGAGAGGGATGGCCAATCGGCTTTCATTATAATTTGAGAACTGCACAGATATCACTCTTAAATTTGAGATGATATATAACCAACCAAATGATAGAAGAATCCAAAAATACAATTGAAAAAGGATAATTAAACTCACCCTTTACAAGGAAACTTAAGTCCCGGGTATTTGGTAGAAAGTAACTTGGCTGTACTTTCAACTTCTATAATATTTGCTGAGCAATTATACCGCCCTTTTGCCTTGGGGTTTTCAAATAGGAAAATTTGAGCTCTAGCAACATCATCCACATGCGCCGTATCGAAACGGGTAAGAGTATTAGATTCACTCTTGTTTCCTGCATATATAAGAGCAATGATAGACATGATCACGAACATCAAAAATGCGAATTAGGTATCGATACTGTGAGTTTCGTTGAAGTAGAATTATCGTTTTATACTAAATTAGTTTCATTATGTTACATATGTCAGATTGATCACATATATGATTTATGAGGAGATTTCTAATATTTTTTAACTATTTAAACAGCTAGTAAGACCAAAACTGTTTGTCCCAAAATTAGGCAACATTAATATGCTTACCAACGATCATTTCGAATACCGACACAACAGAACGAGGGATCTCAGGACAAATGAAAGGGCCGGAAATATAACAGAGAATCAATGTGGCAACGTCCAAGCCATGTTTTTCTGAAAAGTTAAGGATTGCCTTTTCGGTTAAGGTCTTAGAGATCAGGTAACAAGATACATGAGAGTTGAGACTATTAACGTAGTCAATATCAGTCCAAAAACTCTCATCCATTTCATCTAAGTCCTTGCCATTAAACAGCACAGTTACGGAACTAGAAGTGTAGACAACTTTCTTCACTGTTTTGGAATCTAGGCTTGCTTGTAAGATCCCTATTGCCCCATCTATAGATCTTTTGATCACTATTTCCGTTGATTCTTTGTTCCCGAAATCTAGTGGAGTGGCAACATGGAAGACTCCCGTGCACCCTTCAATGGCTGCTACAAAACTTTTCGGATTGTCGAGATCCGCGTCAAAAATTTCGAGCCTTTCTGATGCTCCAGGTAGACTTTTGAGGAAGCTAAGGTCTTTCTTATGCCCTGCGCACATCATTATTCTCAATGTCGATACTTTATAATTTTGAATGCAATATCTGTAACACCCATTTTTCTAAACCGATAAAATTTTTAGAAGTAGATGTTAGGAGTTAACTTGAATAATGTTATGATATTATATATAGTTAATTCTAACATTACATTGAGTTATATTTTACAAGTGAACGCGACGTGGACTCGAGATGCTAAGAACAAGTTCATGCTATGTTATAAAAATTATATATATATATATATATGTTCATTTTTTTTTAATGATTTGATAAATGAATATATGCTCATGATATGATGTACTTCATGTTATAATGCGTGGAATTAAGTGTCTTAAGAAAATTCTAAGTTTTTCCTTGATTTTTCTTTTTAGACAAAAGAACCATTTATATGACATTAATTTTCAGCTCTATTTTGGACCTTTAAAATTCTGAAATTATTCCATAGTCTATACAAAGTTGTAGAACTTTTCATAAGCTTTCCAACGCCTTCTCATTTGTGCAAATCGGATATCAGAGAAAGAAGATGTGGCCAGTATACCATCAGGATATCTAGCAGTCTCCGACCAGGTTACTGCACGTGAACAAGAACGGAAATTCTAGAAGTTGACCTAACTCTTTTATTTGCCTTCCACACGATTTTATACCCTAATGACAGCCATTCCCCCAGCTGTTAAGGGGTGATTTAATCACAAAATTAATCCCAATTAATATCAAATTAATCCCTTTTAATTTTATATGATTTATGAGCCAATAAACATTTTCAAGCTCTTACTCTCTCTACCCCTCTTTCTTCTTCTTTCTTACACGTCCAAGAACACCACAATAGAGAGCCTCCAAAACCAGCCATCAAACCTCCATTATTTTAACCCCTTTTTGTAAACCTTTGGTTCTTCTAGCCACAATCAAGAAGATTTCAAGGTATGTTCCATCTCTAATATAGTATTCATGGTTATTAGGTGTTTTCCGTTGGTGTTGGGTGTTGGTTTAAAGGCATAATGAATAATTTATTTTTGGTTGAAGATTGAGGAATGATATATGTGATTTGGGTGAGGTTTTAATGTTCATGATTGTATGCTTTATTTTGGGATAATCATGTACGACACGGTTATTATTTTGGGTGTTATGGTGTCTTCATAATTTGATAAATTCTAGAGAGACATGTTAGGAATTATGTTATTTTTTAATTTTGTTGTTTCCTTTTTATGTTATAAATTGTGATTTCATAGAAACATGAGTTAGCATATTGTTTTTGGATTCGAGTTGCAAGATATGTGAATTTTGATGGTCATATTGATGTTTCTAGTTCGCTTTGCCATGAGAATTTTCATAGAATGTGTAATTTGAATGTTTTAGGAACATGTTTTAGGGCTGGTTAAAGTATACATATGGTTGGAAATGATTTTATCTTTAATGAATTTATTTTGGTATTTTCGGAGTTTACTCTGCTGGAATTTTCCAGCTAATATGATCTGAGTTTAAAATAGTGTTTGAGGGACCAAATGAACTCCGTTTTTAACAAATAAGGTGTCGTTGGAAAGATCTTGATGTCTATTTTCATTTAGCACCAGTTTCAGGTCGTTTTACGTTTTCTATGGTTTGTTATGAATTTTTAAAGAGATAAAGATCAGGCTGTCAATTTTTAAATGATGGAATTACTGGGATTTTTGTGTCTTGATGTTATTAAATGATGGAATTGGCCTTTTAGGTGCTGATTTAATATGATTGATGGATTTGATGAATTAATGTTTTTAATTTTATTATATTTATGATTTATGGCATGAACGGTTTTAGAAGTGAGTACCCGAGGACCTCATTCGTCGCGTCACCGTTGGAACATTTAAAAAGGTTAAGTAAGGTATTTATGTAAGTACACTCTCACTTGTAACATGAATTGAAGAATTGAGAAGTATATGATTTTGATGTTTATGATGATGTTATGACGTTTTTAATAATCCTCTTATGATGACGTTTTGAAGAAAAATGTATATATGTATTTTTATATTTTTAAATGGCGTTGTACACCCTTGATGGTGACCGGTGAGCGGTCTTATTACCACGGTTGGTATGGGATTTGCTATCTCATGCTTTCTATGGCTAGCGCGCTATGATGGTACAACGCCGGGCCCAATATATGATGGATTTTTAAAGTTTAAACATGTTCAAAAATAATTATTCTCATGATGATGTTTATTGTTGATGAATAAAAATGTTCATTTAAATTTGTGAGAATTAAGTGTCTTACTAAGCCCTTGCTTATATAAGTTATTTCATGTTGCAGACAATCTAAAGGGTAAGATGTAGCCATGGAGAATATTGGAGCGGATACGAGCTATGCGTGATAGGAAAACGGGAGAAACGATCATGGGATGAAAGTGTTTAATGTTAAACAAAGTTTTTAGTTTTATTTATATTGTTTTGGAACTTTGGTATATGGTGGTTTTGATTTGAAGAATATTTGACTTTTTTTTAGTTTATTTCACGGTATAGATTTTAATAATTAAGTTGAACCGAAAGGTTATTTTATTTTTCTTTGAGGAAGTTCAAAAATTTTAAAGATAATATGTTTAAAAAAATCTAGGCTTTTCTTTAAGTCATTCAAAGTAAAGTGTTTCAAGTTTAACTATTTTTTGCATTCTTTAAGAGGTAAATGTTTGAAAGTTAAGATAACTGTGACAGTCCGTGAGGGGTCGTTACAATATCACTAGTCCACATATAATATTAATTTTTTTCTTTTTTTCATTTTTATACCATGTATTTTGTGCTTGTCAAAAATTAGACTTTGTACTTTTGAGTGTGATACATTTGTACCTTTAGATTACAACTTTATGTTGAATCTATACCATCCTCCAATGAACATACTTTCTTGTGTTAACTACATTAAATAAAATAACCAAGAGGGCTAGAGATTCTTTAACTACATTGTTAACATTTAAAAAATAAATAAAAAAAGATCCTAGAATTGCTACAAAATAACTTCATCTAGAAATCATCACTGGCCAAAATATATTCTTAAAAAAGTATTAAGGAAAGAAAAGGCTCACTTGAGTTGGCTCTAACAGTAGTTCTCACCGAGTAACCTTGATCAAGAAGTCTAAATATCAACCAAGATCCTATGTATCCTGTGCCACCTGTTACTAATACTGGACCTTTCCCTGCTTCCATCTTTCTGAACTATGAACCCTTTTTTTTTTTTTTGTTGATTGATTTAAAAATGGTTCAAACGTTGAATGTTCTTGAACGATAAATATGGCGGTAGTTTTATACATTCAAGATACCGTCCAAATATCTCAACTATTTTCCTTTCTGTGGTTCTCGAGAAAAGATTCCTTATCAATCTTTGGCGGTAGTTTTTATCGTTTTCTTTATTTATCACTTTAAATATAGACACAAAAATCTAAACTAATGGTTTTCCTAAAAGGGAATGAAAACAAAAAAGTTCTGATATTTCAGGAGGCTGCAGAAGACATTTGCTTTGATTTTTTTTTTTTTTTTTTTTTTGGAAGTGGGTGGTAATGGAGGAGAAGGTTCATGATAAGATTTTTGTTTTTATTGACACAAATTTTCATGTTGTGTGGCCGTGTGCAGCGGCGGAGCTGCATGGGCCGACGGGGGAACTTTGGAAAAATATTCCCCTCTATAATTTTCTGATTTTGTTATCATGCCCACACTATAAATTTTTTATCAAGAGTATTTAGTGTAAAACAAGCAATTTAACTCTACCGATAGACAATATATTTTTTACTGTTAAATTAATCTTTTAACATTTAAATTTATAGTAAAAATAATTTTGTGTGTCGCACTGTAAATTTTTAATATAAATCTACACATATTTAACTATTAAAAATTAGTCTAATAATTAAAAATAACTATCTCTATTAGTGGAACAAAATAACTTACTAAGGGGGTGTTCGTTTGACAGATTTGGTTCAAATTAGCCCAATTTGAATCAGCCCATTAACTCAAGTCAGTGTTCATTACACCAACTACTCCATTCAGACTCGAATTATGATTCGAGTTGAGCGAATTCAATGGAGGCCTGAATTCCCATTAACTCGAATCGCGTCTACAGTAAACTTCGCTCTGCACAACTCGGCAAAAGCCTGTTTTGATTCCCTCGGGAAATTACCGTTGCTTTTCTCATCTCTTCCCACCGAGAGCTGTCTGTCGTTTCCCATACTCACAGCTAAGAAAAATTGCAGATCGTGTCTTCTCGATCGTTGATTCCACCCCCGTGACTTCTCGGTCGTGGCTCTACTGGAAATTGCAGATCTTTCTTGTCTGTGGTGTGGGATTCCCTTGCTTTTTGCTCGTGTTTTCTTTCCTCTTTCCACCGTATGTCCTCTGTCGTTTCCCATCATCCACAGCTTACAGAAATTGCAGATAAATCTCTCCTCGGTGAGCTTTGCCCCAGATCTCTCTCTCGTTTATGCATGTCGGTAGAACCTTTTCAACAGTCCTCTTCACTTCCCCCAAAACGGAGGAACTATATGGTAAACTCCACGATCGGAAACCTCCGTTGGCGGTTGTTCTGAGCAGTTGTCTCCGTAAGTGGCGACGTCCAACCAAAACTCGCCGTCATCGGTGGAGAATCTCAAGGTACCGCAGTCGGCGACAGAGAGATTGGGGTATTCCGAGCTCATCCATCCGTGGGTTCTTGGTTGAAGCGCACACACGTTCATCCACTGGGTCGAATTCGGTAAGTTCTCTCACATTTTCCTTTGAACTTGTTCTCTGTTGGTGCACTTGAGGATCGGTCTTCATGCTTTCTGGATGTCACAGTCATCTTTATATTCACAGTAGGCATTTCCACATGCAACTTTTATGCCCAATTCGAATGCTTCTGATTGCATACCACATGTTTGATAAAATGCCTCAACGGAACATTATACTGGAATTGCTTTTGTTTACTTC